TTTAGCTCCAGATATAGCTCCAGGTTTAGCTTCAGGTTTAGCTCCAGCTATAGCTTCATCTTTAGCTTCAGGTTTAGCTCCAGCTATAGCTTCATCTTTAGCTTCATCTTTAGCTCCAGGTTTAGCTCCAGCTTTAACTTTAGCTTCAGCTTCAGCTATAGTTCATTTTTAGCTTTAGCTCCAGCTATAGCTTCAACTGTAGCGTCATCTGTAGCGTCGTATTTAGCATAATTTTTAGCTCCAGCTCCAGCTATAGCTTCATCTTTAGCGTCATCTATAGTTCCAGCTTTAAATTTAGCTCCAGCTATAGTTCATTTTTAGCTTTAGCTCCAGCTATAGCTTCATTTGTATCTTTAGCTCCAGCTTCGGCTGTAGCTCCAGCTTTAGCTTCATCTCTAGCTCCAGCTTTAGCTTTGGCTCCATCTTTAGCTTTAGCTTCAGCTTCAACTTTAGCTTCAACTTAGGCTATAGCTTCAGGTCCAGCTTTAGCTTTGGCATTAGCTTTAGCTGCAGGTTTAGCTCCAGCTTCATCTCCAGCTTCATCTTTAGCTCCAGCTTTAGCTTGGGCTTTAGCTATAGCTTTAGCTCCAGCTTCAGCTTTGGCTTTAGCTTCACCTATAGCTTAATCTTTGGCTTTAGCTTCATCTTCGGCTTTAGCTTTAGCTCCAGCTTTAGCTTCAGCTCCTGTTCAGCTTCACCCTTAGCTCCAGCTTTACCTATAGCTATAGCTTTAGCTCTAGCTTCAGGTTTAGCTTTAGCTTCAGATTCATCTTAAGCTCGGGCTGTAGCCATAGCTCCAGCTTTAGCTTCATCTCCTGTCCGTTCCTCCCCCCCAGATGACCATGCAGGAGTACAGGTTTAGCAGGTTTAGCTTTAGCTTCAGCTTCAGCTTAAGCTTTATCTTTAGCTCCAGCTTTAGCTCCATCTCCTGTCCCTCCCCCCCTACAGATGACCATGCAGGAGTACAGCATGCTCCAGGAGCAGGAGGACGACGAGGACTTCCTGCGGCGCTACCGCTCGCAGCGCATGGAGGAGATGCGGCGGCAGCTGGCCGGCGGCGGCGGCGGCGGCGGCAGGCGCTTCCAGCGCGTCTTTGAGCTGCGCGGCGGCCAGGACTTCCTGGAGGCGCTGGACGGGGAGGCGGCCGGCACGCTGGTCATGGTGCACATCTACGAGCCGGAGGCGGCCGGCTGCGAGGCCATGCGCGGCAGCCTGCTGTGCCTGGCGCGCGAGTACCCGCTGGTCAAGTTCTGCAGCGTGCGCAGCGCCGCCATTAGCACCAGCGCGCTGTTCAGGGCCAGCGCGCTGCCCGCCCTGCTGGTCTACAAGGCCGGAGAGCTCATCGGGAACTTCGTGCGGCTGACCGACCAGCTGGGCGAGGACTTCTTCGCCGTGGACCTGGAGGCGCTGCTGCAGGAGTACGGCCTGCTGCCCGACAAGCCGCCCGCCACGCGCAACGGCGCCATCGTGCAGGGGGCCAATGCCGTCGCTAGCGACGACGACGACTCCGACCTGGACATCGACTAGAGCCGTCCGGAGACGTGTCCGATATCCGCTTCATATCATTCCATATCCTCCAAAAGTGACTGTTTTTAACTCGGAACGCTGCCAGTTCGGTTTGTTTTAGCTGTGATCCACTATTTATTTATCTGGCCCCCCCCCTCCTATCTGTCAGCCCCCCATACACACACACTCATGCACACACACACTCATACACACACACACACACAGTTATTTAGCTCCCTTTCTACCTTTTGTATGCGTGTATGAATACAAATAAGGAAAATAATAAATAAAGGCTGTGTGAAGGGCTCTGTGTTTTTATTTGTCAGTTATCAGGCTGCATGACCCCCCCTCTATCTGTCACCCCCCCAAATACACACACACACACACACACAGTTATTTAGCTCCCTTTCTACCTTTTGTATGCGGGTATGAATACAAATAGTGGACACGCGTTCAATATCCGCTTCATATCATTCCATATCCTCCAAAAGTGACTGTTTTTAACTCGGAAAGCTGCGAGTTTGGTTTGTTTTAGCTGTGATCCACTATTTATTTATCTGTCACCCCCATATGTCACCCCCCCAGAAACACAGTTATTTAGCTCCCTTTCTACCTTTTGTATGCGTGTATGAATACAAATAATAAGGAAAATAATAAATAAAGGCTGTGTGAAGGGCTCTGTGTTTTTATTTGTTCATCAGGCTGCATGCCCCCCCAGTTTTAGCTGTGATCCACTATTTATTTATCTCCCCCCATCTGTCACCCCCACAAAATACACACACACACAGATATTTAGCTCCCTTTCTACCTTTTGTATGTGTGTATGAATACAAATAATGAGGAAAATAATAAATAAAGGCTGTGTGACTGAGCTCTGTGTTTTTATTTGTCAATTAACAGTTTGTTTTAGCGGTGTTCCATTATTTATTTATTCCCCCCCCCCCCAAAAAACACACCCACACACAATTATTTAGCTCCCTTTCTACCTTTTGTATGCGTGTATGAATACAAATAGTGGACACGCGTTCAATATCCGCTTCATATCATTCCATATCCTCCAAAAGTGACTGTTTTTAACTCGGAACGCTGTGAGTTCGGTTTGTTTTAGCTGTGATCCACTATTTATTTATCTGTCACCCCCCCAGAAACACACTGTTATTTAGCTCCCTTTCTACCTTTTGTATGCCTGTATGAATACAAATAATGAGGAAAAAATAAATAAAGGCTGTGTGAAGGGTTCTGTGTTTTTATTTGTCAATTAACAGTTTGTTTTAGCTGTGATCCACTATTTATTTATCTGCCCCCCCCCATCTGTCACTGCCCCAGAAACACACACAGATATTTAGCTCCCTTTCTACCTTTTGTATGCGTGTATGAATACAAATAAGGAAAATAATAAATAAAGGCTGTGTGATTGAGGTCTGTGTTTTTGTCAGTTATCAGTTTGTTTTAGCGGTGATCCACTATTTATTTATCTCCCCCCCCAAATAAAAACACACACACACACACAGATGTTTAGCTCCCTTTCTACCTTTTGTATGCGTGTATGAATACGAATAGTGAGGAAAATTAAGGCTGTGATTGAGCTTTGTGTTTTTATTTGTCAGTTATCAGGCAGCATGCTGACATCTTATTCAGAAATAATGACGCTCTTTACTATGTTTTATTATTTTTTTTGTAAAACAGAACTTTTGGAAATGCATTGATAATCATAATTCTAGTTCAGAGTAAAAACAGCTGCTACAAACTGGAGTTTTAACATTACAGGAACACTCGTTTAGTTTAATTGTTAGTGAAGTCTCCTTTTAGTTTTGAATTTCAGCAGCTTATTGGTGCTTTTGGCTCATAGCAGGTTCCTGCTGGAGAATCAACAGATCAAACCCTCCAAGTCATTAGTGGGTTTTTCTTTCCTTCTTTTTTTCTCTCTTTGGGCTTAAAATCAAAACATCTGCACAGCTGTGGCATGGCCACGAGCTAAGGCCTCGTTTGGGCCGTCCAATCACAGCCTGTGCAAAAGGCAGATGCTCCAAACACAACCAGATGAAGGAAAACAACCAGGTTCTCAGTATTTAAAAAAAAAAGTCATGTTATTACATCATGTTGCTTGGATTTTTCTATTTGTGAGGATTTACTCTCATAAATAAATGGCCACAAATGAAGCAAATTTCTCTGTTAAGACACCAGATTCAGCTTCCTTGTTCAGTGTGTTTGTGTGTGTGGGGAGTTTGTAGGACCCTCGGTTGGATATCCAACTACTCCCACATCCAAGTCGGCCATCTTGATTAGGTCATGTGACTAGCAGCTTTCTCAGGTGGACACAAAACTTTACTGTCTATACGAAATCGGAAGACAAACAATTTCCTAAACCTAACCTTGACCCTAACACTAACCCTAACCCTAACCCTTCATAATTGTGAGAAATAAATATTTTTTGGTTAAACTTATTTGGACTTATTGTACAAACCTATTTAACATCCACTATTTTAACATAATATTATGGATAGAGTTTAACTCAGTGTTTGCAAGATTCATTTCACTATTCTTAAATTAACGTCTATATTGCCATGAAGCAATTAGGATTTTCTTTTTCTGGGATCTTCCTGTTGGTGACTTAATAAAAATGGCCGACTTGGATGTGGGGGGGGCTGGTCTGCTGGGGGGTCCGGCTACAGGCCCCAGAGCAGCGGGGGGAGGCAGAGCGAGGCCAGCAGCAGCAGGGGGGGGTCCTCCCGGGGGGGGGGGGGGCCACGGACCCGTGCGCGTCGTGCCCGCAGAAGGCGTGCTCCAGCAGCACGTGCGCCTCCGCGCTGATGCCTGGAAACAGAGCAGAGAGGACCCGGATCAGTCGCTTCCGGGTTGACTCAGATCCCGAAACGTCGCGTGAGTCCGGTATCGACTGGTCCGGTTGGGGTCCTGGTCCGGGTCCAGGTCCCAGTCCAGGTCCGGCCTCCGGGCATGCGCAGTATGGATCAGCTGTGAGCAGCCAGCGCAGCGTCACGCGCGGGTGGCTTCGAACGGTCCACTTTCCATGACGCACCCGGAAGCGATTCGCCACCTTCTGGTTACCTACGCGACGTGGTTGCCAGGCAACAGAGCGCAGTGCAGCTTTTTTTTTTGCGTTTTTCCGCACAAAATATAAGAATAATTTTGATTTGACTTACTTTTCGTGTTTCAGTTCAAACATTTGATATTGATACATTATATTATAATTATCAAATTGTATTATAATTATATTAATAAATTAATAAAATCAGTATTTGTTTGATTTCCTGTAAAGGTCAGCATCCCCAGCTGGAGCTCCTCTAACCTCATTCTTCATTTCAAGTCAAGTAGGCTTTATTGTCAATTTCTTTACATGCGCTGTTCATACAAAGAATTGAAATTGCGTTTCTTACTTTCCCATGCAGACATGGACACAGATTTTAGGTGTGGACATAGACAGACAAAGACAGTACACACACATTACACCTAGAGTACCTATACTATACCAAACAGACAAATAAAGCACAAGACTGGGCAACAGCAGACACACATTGAACATAAGAAAGAGGTATTATTGTGCATTTCCAGTTATGTCCTATTTTGACTATTCTGACAGTGATATTAGCTTTGTATAATACTGTATAATCAATATAAAGTGATCTAATTAAGTTATCTCTGTTTGTGAGTAGCAGTGATATCAGGTAAAGGAGTTTTTTCCTTTCTTTTTTTTGGGGGGGGGGGCACCCCCCGTGCTGGGACCACTCGTCCCAAAGGTGCGTGGTCCCCTCGGCGTGGGGGGCCGGGGGGGTGTCTGAAATAAGGGGGGGGGGGCAAGCACACAGGGAACGCACGCGGATAATAATAATAATTATAATATGAAAGGTAATAATAATAAAATGAAAGATAATAATAATAATATGAAAGGTAATAATAATAATGAAAGGTAATAATAATAATAATAATAATAATAATAATATGAAAGGTGATAATAATATTAATGAAAGGTAATAATAATAAGAATAATGACAGGTAATAATAATAATATGAAAGGTAATAATAATAATAATGAAAGGT